CATTGCACAAATTACAATCGTACGGGTCATGTTTACAATTTTTGCTTTGATCGTATCGGTGCACAAAATACGCCCAAGCGGGTTCATAACCCTAGGGCCTTGGATTTAAATGATAGGGGTCATGTCCCAAATTTTAGTGGTACCAAAATGATTTGGGTATCAAAATAATTTTTATATCATTTTTTTTGTTTTTTTTGTTTTTTTTTTGTTCGCTTTGTTTCTTGAATAATTTGGTTTTGAGTTTAAATGATAAATTTTATCTCTTATTAAGTTAAAATAAAATATTTTTTTTGTTTTAATAACATAAAAACTTTATATGTATTTATACATCTTATAAAACAATTTTATTAAGGATCAAATTAAATTTTCCTCAAATTCCAGATTTTAAAAACTATCTATGCATTTTTTCTTCTCGCGGTCGACCGCCACGATCGACCGTCAAAGTTTCTGGAGTTTGTTACGGTCGACCGCCACGGTCGACCGCAAGAGAGTTTTTTGGTTTTCTGCACTTTTTGTTATCGGGTTTTGGTTCATTTGGTTTAAATTCTTTAAACCCGCTTCTTCACCACCATTGGTTTTGATTTGATCTAATTTGGGCCGCTCCTTCTTCCTCTCTAAAGATCCGATTCTCTTCAACTTCCCTCATTCGAAATTTTCCCCAAATTTCATCGTTTTCCTCTTCACGGTCGCCCGCTGGAATTCTTCGTTCGACCGCGGATATTTTCATCTCAATTTGGGTAATCTCTCATCTCTCTCTTGTGTCCATTCTCTCTTAGGGTTTTTTTTGTCTAATCTAGGGTTTTTAATTCAAATTCTGTCTCATTTCATATCTTTTCAAAACCCTAGTTGATCATTCTGTCACCATGCCCCCTAAGAAGAGATCTAGACCTGACATTGGCCACTCATCATCTTCTGCTGCCTCCCATTATGAGGATTTTTTACTTTTCAAACCCCTAGTTAAGAAATATAGGGAGCTTTGTAAGTTAAAAATCCTACTTACTAGATATATCAAATTTGATCAATTAGCCATGTATGACACTCATACGATTTTTCATAATGTTGGGTTGGCTAGGCTGTTAGATGTGGAACGTAAAGTTCCGTATTATCCTTTTCTGGTTTATCTGTTTTATGCCAACTTATCTGTGTCATCCTCTGCTGATGGTCTTCAGACCATTAGTACATCTGTTAAAAATGTTGTCATTTCTTTTTCTGCCAACGAACTTGCGGGGATTCTTAAAATCCCGACATGTGATGTTGAGCTTATGTCTATTGAACATGATGATCCAGCTGTGAACAACCTCTTGTTTAAACCTGGTTGCACTTCTCCGATGAACAATAATTCTCTTAATCCCAATGCCAAACTTATTGCTAGAATTATTGCTCAAAATCTGATTCCTAAAACTGGTAGTTTTGATCACTTTGCTCCTGACAAGATCAATGTTGTATATGCTATTTTTGCCAAAATAAAAGTAGATTGGGCAAACGTTTTTCTCAAAAACATGGCATCTAAACATTTCAAATTTCTACCCTTTGGCTCATTCATCACCCTTATCCTTCAACACTTCGGTGTTGATCTCACACATGAACCCAAAGTTGAACCCAAGAAGGACTTTTTTGATAGAGTCTCTCTCTCTAGTATGCAACAATCAGACTCTTTATCTGCTCCCACTGTTCCATCATCTTCCCGTTCTCAATCTAGAGCTTCCTCTTCCACTTCTGATATATGTGCCCGTTTGGATCGCCTTGAGACTCAGGTCTCAACTATTCAGAGGGATGTTAGGACTATTCTTAGTTATCAGCATCAGTCTCTAGGGATTCCGGATCCATCTTCCAGTTCTGACTCTGAGGAGGGCTCTGCTGAGGGATCTGCATCTGGCTCTGGTTCAGGATCTGGCTCTGGCCATGCTTCTGATGATGATGATGGTGATTGACTTTGTTGCTTATTGGAGTTTGTTGGATTCTATGCTTTTGGTGATGTTTATGTCTATTTTGAGTTGATACTTATGTTTTATTTTGAGTTGTAATAACTCTATGTTTGTGTGGAAAACTATGTGTCTTTGTGAAACATTTGTGTATGGTTTGTAGTATTGTGGAACAAACTATGTTTGTGGAAAACTATGTAGTTTTTTTGTGTGTTTAAGTGATGATTTGTGATCTATTGTGTTAGTTTATCTTTTCTATGAACTATGTATGGTGAAAACAATTTTCATGCTTTGTTTTGTGATAATATGTTGCTAATGATGCGTTCTTTGGATTCTAAATGTGTATGGCTGTGTATAAATGATTATTGATTAGCTTCTATATATGCTCTTTAGATTGTTGACCCTATAGTTTTGATGATGATTTGTCAAACAATTTATCGCTAATATATTCTCTAGTTTTGTGTTTATGTTTCTCTTTACAGGTATTTCAACACACAACAATCAAGCGTTAAAGATTCAAGTTCTTATGTGTGGAGTTACCTAGGTATAGAAGTAGTTTTCTTATATATATTGTATGTTTATATGTAAGCTCAATATATGTACACTTAACACGATTTTTGACGTTTTCTATCACATAAATGATTTTTCATCAAATGTCGTTACAATATCTTTTATCTTATGTTTATAGCTCATTCATACTTTATTATATACACATAATATATGCATGAGATATATTTACATGTTTATGAGTCATATCAAAATTTTCATATTCGTAAAATACAGGTTTTACGAACACTTTTCAAAAACAGTGTGTTTTTGCAAACGAAAATTATTTTTCCAAAAAATCCTTTTCTAACATGTTTATTTTATCATTTAGAAACTTTTCCCAAAGTTTTATTATTTTTAAAATTGATTTGCTATTTTTAAAGTTTTTTCAAAACTGGCCAAAAACAGGTTTTTCAGACTGTGTCAGTTTGCGGTCGACCGCCATGTTCAATTTTCTTAGCATGGATTTTATATGCCCGCGGTCGATCGTGACGGTCGACCGTGATCCAACCAGAGAGTTTCGCGGTCGACCGCCAGCCTTAAAACCCTATACTCAGGATTTTTGTGCCTCGCGGGCGACCGCCGTAATCATTAGTTTTTAACGGCTATTTTCACAACGGCTCTCTGGGGGCTTTTTAGTCTTTTCAAGTTGGTTTTTGGCTGATATTTGAGAGGGTATAAATACCTCATTGCTGCTCTCTTTTACCTATCTAAGTTTTGTATTTAACAAAATATTAAGTGTGTTTAAAAGAGCTGTTTAAACTGATTTCATCAGTCTGTTTCAAGAGAAGTTTTCCTACAACAAGAAGTAGCTTTCAAATCCTATTGGGATTATCGTCTACTGTTCTTCTTGTTTGAGAAGTTTTCTAAACTTTTATATAGCTTACTATTTCATTTTTATTTCATTAGCTATATTTATTGAGTTGTATTATTTTTCATTCACTGTTATCACACACATAATATTGGGCTTAATATTTTCATACTATATAGTGTGAGTTGTGGGGTGTGATTTAGTGAGTGTAAGCTTCATTGTGTTCTCACTTGTTATTTGAGAACAAATCATTGTATTTAATCTTCTTTTGTGAGTATCACTTGTAATACACTTGTACACCGAGAGAAGTGTGAGGCGAGAGACGGGGTCGAATCCAATAGGAGTAGCATCGGTTGGCGAACCTAGGGAGAGGTTGCATCCGAGCACTTGAGGAGGAGGACACGGGCTAGGTTCCTACACTTAGTGTGTAAAGTGTGATTGCATAGTGTTTGGTGTGTGAGAGTTTTCGGTGAACTTGTAAACCGAGTGTGTAGAAGTTCCGGCTTCCAAACTGGATTGTGATAGTGGAGATCTCCTCAAGGTGAGGAGCGGGGACGTAGGTCGTGGGGACCGAACCTCGTAAACATATCTTGTGTTTGTGTTTGCTTAGCGTATATTTCATTTGTGCTTTTTCTTATCTTTCTTGTTCATATCCATCTTATATCATTCTTGCAAGATCAAATTGATTAACTTAATTTTAATTGGTATTTAATCGGGATTAGATTAGCATAAGACCCTAATCAACCCCCCTCTAGGGTCTAACACATAATTCCCTCCACTCATTCAAATGGTTGCATATCCCCATGCACTCCTCAACCAATGTGAATGTGGTCCCCCGTTTGAATGAGTGAAGGGGATTGTGTTACCTTACTATCAAGCACAAAATTTGTGCTTGGTACCAAGCATACCCATATTTCTCACACTCTCTCTATACACACACACACGTGTGTGTTTGTTGTACTTCTTTTTTTGTTGCCTTGATTGTTTATTATAAAACATGAGCTTATAATGTTCAAATGTGTTGTGCAATTCTATTTTCAATGCAATAAGAAATGTGGTTTCTTTATTGTTATAACTATAGTTCATAATAAAATTGTTATTCACGTTTGACTCCATATTATAGCTTGGAATTAGTAGAGGTTGGAATATGACATGTAGTATCAATTTAACTTATTTTCTTTTACTATTTTACTTGAAGATATTATTATATCAATTGATATCATTTTCCTAGAGAATCAATTAAGATGTCACAGTTAAGTATACTAATCCCAGTTTAACACAAAAATCCATTACATCAATTTTTTAATAATGTTTAAATAAAATTTATAGCAAATCTAATAATCTAATTTTACACATTTGAACTCAAAATGAATCTGACTTATTTATAGTAATGAAATAAATAAAAAGTAAAATATTTTAATATTTAACTACGTGCATTGCACCTGCATAAGAACTAGTAAAAATAAATGAGGGATATAAAACTAACTCTAATTAATCTATTTTGATCATTTTAGCAAGTTAATTCATAATTTTTATTTTTATTTAATTTGAAATCACTAACTTTTCTGGGGAGGTCAAAGGATCTACCAGAAGTCCTCATTTCTCATGTTTTGCCTTCCACCCAAAATATTGTAAAATTGGATAAAATGGACGCTACTGGAAATCTAAATCTAGACCAAGCAAATGTACCACATTCTCCAGAAATTAGAACAGATAACATATCCTGTAACATGTAAAGTTTATACAATGCGGTAACTTATAAACGAGAAAGATAAAGATTCTCCTTATATACCATTAAAAAAAATATCATACAACATTTAAGAATATATTTTCCGGAGAAAAATGTAAAATTCAAGAGCCCAAAAATTCGTTTTAACATGTTATAGTAACTTAAATTTCTGTGGTTGTACACCGTTTCCGTCCTGCGCTGAGGTTTGTAAATGCACCTTTCTCAAGCTCCACTGAGGTCAGCTCCCTCTATACAACTGCATATCTGGCCCTTTCCGTCCAGCCTCTGAGAACTCATCAGGCACTGGCACATTCAGCTCAGAACAAACCAACTGAACTATTCTCCTTGCAACATTACCCATTGACATTTTATTCACAGTTACCGCAAGCGAAAAATCATGCTCTACATCACAAAATCCAGTAGAACCACCGACTCCTGAATGTCCAAAGCTCGTAAGCTTATCATTGTCCGACCTGAATCTCCTAAACCCTAACCCGAAGTACCCATCCTGAAGTGTCAAAGTACTATAATCACCTACCCCCATGAATGCATCACGTATCTTTGGGTTATTGAACATCCTTCTCGCCTTATTACCACCAGTACCGCCGTTGGCATCTTCAGTACGAATTTCAACAAGACTGTAACTAGGGTCACTAGGGTTTGCTTTCATCGAACTCTTAGTACCTCTTTTCTTTTTCTGGGGTTTAAGAGGAGGGAGCTTGGGTATGTGGGTGTGGCTACCGAGAGGAGGTTTGGAGAGATTGGAGTGTGGAGGAGGAATAATGCCTCCATTGGCGAGAGCAGCATAGTAGCGTGCAAGTGCACGGGCTGTCAAGTGTCCGTTGGCAGCGGGAATTATGGCTCTGCGGATGTTGAGGGTGTTGAAGAGGACAGGGAGGCTGGTGGCCATTTGTAGTATGTCTCCTTGCTTGAGGCTGTCGGGTAAGTCAGGCCTTGAGTTCATTTCCATGAATTTGTCGAGTTCAGAAATGTCAATTGTGAGTGTTGCCAGACGAGTTTCCACACCTGATGAAATATCCGGAATTTAGCGCTACAGTGTATAATAAATTAATAATCATTGCATAGTAATTAATAATCAACCGAGAATGATAGCAGTTGTAGGACAGTAGTTAAAATTAGCAACTACATGGGCATTAATTCAGCTTGCACAGTCACTTATCTCCTCTCAGACAATCTTGCCTGGCCAATTGGACGTTCAGAGAGTTTCTACATGTTGTGTGCATTTTTATTTATCAAATCAGTAGGTGGCATAGACCGGCAGTGGCGTAGTCAGGAATTGGAGCTCAGGGGGCACTTTTGATTATTCTCTTAAAAGAAGACTAAAACAATTATATCAATAATCGTATCTGATAATTATTATTATTTTTCTTGAGAGAAGAATAAGCACTCAAACTTCAGAACCACAATCAAATATCATATACTCCTCTGTTAAATAAAGGTTCAAAACTCATGGAAGTTCTTGGACAATTTGGTAGAGATTAAGCAACCTTTTGATCTCTGATGCTCGAATTTTGATTTGATTTTGATTTTCTTATCAAGAATTTATCCCTGCCCTATGACAAAGTATAAATAATAGTGACACTAATTATAAAATTTTCTCACATTAATTGAAACTGAATTAGAATCTATTGAAAAAAATTGTGAACAAAATTAGGTAATCTTTATTAAATATTGTAATATAATAGACTATGTATTAGATATTCTTTTAAGTATTTTAGAATCAAAAAGCTAAATACAAAGAAGAGACTAGGACTTAGAACCACAATGTGCTAATTCCAAAGTATTATCTAACAGAAAAAATTTCTTGTCTTCAGTCTCTCCTGGCCTGTTAATTTTCCAACCGGGTATTATTTTTGTTTGTTTCTTTTGGGACTCAGCCAAATATCAACATTTAAATAAATAAAACAATATTGGTTTTGTACATGATCCCAAATCATACTTTTGTTCGTTTCCTTTGACTTCTAACTACTCAACCGCAAAGCATGAGAACTTATTTTATTTTGTAAACCTAAGGTATGAGAACTATTTCATGTGGGCCCCACCCACATATATATAGGCAGCCAATGTAAGACTTTTTTATTTTCTTTTTGGTGCTCCCCCACCCCCTCTGGCTCCGTCGTTGTAGACTGGTCATGTCAACTCCAGAACTATCAAGGTGCACATGTTTTTGCCCAGACTAGTTTTATAATAATATAGCATGAAATGTTCGATAATTCCTCATTAATTATCAAGCTTTACCTAATGTGAGAGTTTTACTCATCATGCTCATAAATAAACACACCAGATCAAACAGATGTATTACATTTTTCGTGCGACACCTTCAGTCGTGTGACATGTTTTTAAGTGTTACTGAATCCCTGATGATTTGTCAAGCTAACATATCATTGTGCTATAAGGTTGAGAGATATTATGAATCATACAACTACGTATAGCCTTTTTCCACCTTATGCAATACCGATATATAATGTCTCTATGCGCATAAATACTTACCTGGTTTGATCTGGCTATGTAATTAGATGATATTAAGACCATGGGTTACTAAAAAAGATACTAAGACCGTGGTACACACCTGGAGGAATGCCAATGTATAGCTCTCCGTCAATGTTGAGAGGATGAACTATAGCTTCTTCTAGTACTTCTTGAAATTTCTTTCCTGATGCATGCTGTTTCAAGAACAAAGGTGTCAGCATACCAAAACAACCAACGATACATAAGGAATCCTAAAAATATAATTAGGAATTCAAAATTATTCTTGCAATGTCTGAATTTTTTTTTTTTTGAAGTTTGGGAAGATTACATTAGATGCAACAACAACTGAAGCAATCATAGCAAAGTATTATTTTGAATGAGCCAATATAGAGCAAATGAAATATAATATAATAGTTACAGGCAGTTGAAAAACCTGGTCGGTGCTACAATTCAGCTAAAGGAACAAACTTACCTCTATAACTCCACCACAAAGCCAACCAAAAGATAAGTAATGATATAGTTGCTGGGAACCCGGTTCTGTATCAGGAGTTAACGTAGCAATGTGCTTTAGAGCTTTTTCCCAGTCACATATTACCAAGGGATCACTCCTCAAAAGATCACCCATTGCATTTTGCAGACCGGATGTATGATTAAGGACTTGATGAACCTAAGAAAGAAGGGGGAAATGGGGATAAAAATGGTATTCGATAGTTAAAGAAGGATATACAGTTCCATATATAGAGTTATGATATGACATGTTTTTAATACCTTTATGACATCTTTCCCATTGGTTCCAAACTCAGGCCAAATATTAGCAATAGTTTCCTGAAACTTGAGTTTCCTGTAAGAAAATTCATCCCAATAAAATATGCTCAACTTTTATGGCAATATGAGCCAGTAATCATGTTTGTTAAGAAACTAACGTAAAGTTCATTTATGCTAATGGAAAGCAAACTTTGCATCTTATGTTGGCCAAATACAATGTACATTATGCCTGCGGTATTATGAATGGGGACTCAATCCCATACACCCAAGGTGTCCAGACATTATGCATATGAACTATAGCAATAGAAATACAGATATATAAAACCAAGCATGTTATTCTTCCCTAGACTACATCTTAACTTCCATCATATTACCTTCAGTATATCATAAAGATTATCCCTTTCAATAAAAAAAAATATTTGCAAGTTTTCCTCCTCTTTAAGTCTTTTCACCAACTACCTCAGAGAAAAGCCAAGGAAAAAAAAAGCTTAAAACTGTATTCTTACAGACCATATGCATATGAACTATAGCAATAGAAATACAGATATAAAAACCCAATCATGTTATTCTTTCCTAGATTACATTTTAACTTCCATCATACTACCTTCAGTATATCAATAATATCATATAGATCATCCCTTTTTATATATATATATATATATATATATATATATATATATATATATATGCAAAGTTTTCCACCAACTCCTCAGATAAAAGCCAAGGAAAAAAAATGAGTTAAAACTATTTTCTTACAGACATACTATTTCTTGAAAATAATTGATCATTAATTCACAATTGTTCTCATTCATTCCTTCATTTCAAAAGTAAACCTCGCATCTTCAAGCTGCTATTTAGTATTTTTTTAACCAAAAGAAAACTGTCAGACTTCTACTTCAGAACTATCCCTATCATCCACATCATACCTGCAAATATAAACACATCCTTTTATAATCATTACCAATTTAAATGTATTAAAATCATAAAAAGAGAGAGCTACTTGTATCCTTAGCACAGTAACATTTTTCTGAAGTCTCTTAGGTATATCATGTATTTGGTTGCTCCATTTGGTTCTCTAAGGCACACACTTTTCTATTAACATCCCCATCACCACGTCAAAACATATCTGGTTTCCTAACATCCCTAACAGTGAGCAAACTACTTATATACCTGGGTCAGCTAGGCATACATGTTCTTCACTATGTCCTACATTTATTAGATGTAGTTTAATAGTTTATACGCACTTAATGCATACCTACAAGGCCAAATAAGGGATGTAAGTGGATTACTCAAAATTAGTATGTGACCTTGATGGTTGCATCCAACTACATGTTAAACTCATTTCAATTGTAAAACTTATAATAAAGGGGAAGGCATGTAAGCTCAAAGCCTGTCAGCTAACCAATTTATAAAAAACCTTAAGTATTCGTTTGCGGGCCAATGAGAAATCAACATTTCATCTCATGTTGGACTTTGAGCGACATGGAAAGGCCTTGAAAGATGATTTGCTTGGTAATATAGTGTAAAAATTGGGGGTAATCAATATATTTTTAAATTGCCAATTTGAGGTTTAAATTGCAGGAGATAGCCACAAAGGGTAAACACCAAGCAGAGCAATTGAAAAAAGAAAAGGGAGAGAAGAAAGATGTGGTGATGCTATAAAGCTGTGGAGAGGAGAGATGCGGTGATTGTATAAAGCTATACTTATATATATAGCCATGAAAGCACTCTTACAGAGTGTTAACTCCACATTAATATCTAATCGAACAGGATTAAGATCTAATCAAACAGAATCCTGAAAATACTACAATTGCAATATGTACATACACTCACAAAAATGATGGTGACCTGACATAGCTGTTGTGCATAACCATGCTAACCTCATAGAGTTCACAAATGATCCCCAAACAGAATGACAGGACTATGCAAAGATTATTTATCTATGAGGGTTGTTCTTTTTTTTTAATTAGATTGACAGTTGGGACCATCTGAGCCCCCCTACATACCATTATGTCATTGCCCATAGTGTAATTCTCCAGAACACCTACTCCGGCAGGTAATATATTGAATAAAATAACAAAAGCAAATGTAAACAAAACTGAAGATATCCAAATACATGCACAAAGATGTGCCTGAATAAAGTGTGGACAACGACAACAACAACAACAACGCAGATTTATCATCTTGGTGATATCAAGTTGTTAAATAATGGAAATATATATTGCAGTACCTTACCCCTTATCAACGAGCCAATGTACCATTCCTGCAGTAACCCCTTTAGTTACTGAAAAAACTGGGAATAAAGTATCAGGTTGGACAGGCCGAGGATCATATCTCCCTAGAACGCCAGCAGAAGTATCTATAATGACATGCCCATCTTTGTACGCGCACACCTAATGGAAGGAAAAACCATATGAACCATATGTGAGTCATGTAAAGCATCCAACTGTACTTTTTATATCTACTAATTTACCCGACACTTCCTGGAGCATCTTTGTCACTTTAGAGCATTTACTTGTTAATATTGTCTTAGAAATTAATGTATATAAAATAGCCCTTAGTTGACGACATAATGAGTTGCTCTTTTACATTTACAAACTTTAATGTGGTGAACCATTTATTATCTACTAGACAAGGAATCAAAATGGGTAGCCTGCTTGTCCGGTACTTCTTAAGCTTAGAAAATACCCCTCAAATTCTTGATAGACAGAATCTAATGAAAATGTTATGTATATATAGCTCAATGGCCACACAATGTAGATATCAACATCTTAAGATTATTATATGCTTACTAATTGAATATTACAAAGCATTCCTGTACTTTCATATTTCATATTTATTGTCACCCTAATCGAGTTAAATAACTAAAATCACAAAAGACTGCTTTATTTGAATCTTTTTCAGTAGCATGTATATCATATAATTGAGAATGAAATCATCAAATTAGAATCTTCGGGATAGTAGAGTACTTGATGTTATGTTACATAGCAATGCTTTTCTCTTCCTTAGGCTTACTACAACATATAAGCTAACTTAGATTTATGTACTTGGATTCTTCATCTAATCATTAAAACTCAACTTCATTTGACTATCCTTTGTCAAGTACTTAATATGCTGGCCAGCTCTAGAAAATACATTGATGTAAATTCTTTATGATGCCGTGTTGAAAGCCAGGCTAAAAAGTAAATATTTTTGAAGTAACTGACAAGTAATCTGTTGCTTTGTTACATGTTAATATAGGGGTTTCATGCAGAACAATACCAGAATAAACTGGATCCATTCAGGTTTTCACCTGCTGAGTTCTCCCTTGTTACTTGACCAAAAATCACGACTGCAGTTCCTTGCTTTTGCTTTAAGTAGCAACAGAACTCATTTAAACTAATTTAGTTCACTTCAGATAAATTAACATAACATCTTTTAAAGAACAATAGTTAACATAAAAAGCGATCAAGAACTATTTATAATCAAAGGAATAGTGATTTACCAAAGAGGTGAAAAGTTCAAGTTTGTGAAATGACAAGACAAGCTTAGATAGTTTATTTGCTCTGTGAGGCACTAACAAGCAACCTGTCATATTAACTAAGATAGCAATAGATCATTATTCGCAGGCTAATAATTGGTTATGCGAGAAAATCCAAAGCCGCCTCATGTAGAAGACAAAAGAAATGGTTTTACACATGGAAGACAACAGATGGACTCTAATCAGGTGGAACCACTAAACTGGAGTTATACACCTTAAAAGACTTAAACTAAGACATTTCCTTCCTATCTGAAAACTTAGTTTCTGTTTCAGACCTCCTTATTTAGATTATTTCCACTAGGTTCTTCAGGTTCGGGACTTCCTAATTGGGTCAGTTTTGGTGCATTCTTATGCAGACATACACAAACTTACATGGACATATGCATATGAAAGTTTTAATTAGGAATTCATTTGTGAGAACTTCTATGAGAAATACATAATGGATCATCTCATAGATGATCTGCATCATTCATCATATTCAAGGTCCAAATCAGTGTAGCATAAAAGAGCAAGGGCCATCAAAACTTCCTCTGTCTTCATAGTTGGTTGCAGAAAGCATGTTACTTCAGCATAGAAAAATACTAGTTGTTGATGCATGGGAAAAAGTATGCATAAACAAGCACGCACCGCACGCGCACACACAGAGGAAGGGAGGGAGGGAGGGAGGGATCTTTGACTCCTTAATGAACAGGAATGGATGACTCTGAACATAAGTGAAGACAACAATAGGTATACTTGAAGTTGCTTATAGTAACCAGAACTGAATGCGACTTAAACCCAACACGTTCCAAGCCTAAGTAAGAGAACAGGTACGAAGACATCATAACCATGGCCTGATCTGACGCTGTCTTTATGCTTTGAAAGTTTGAGAATTAAGTGAAATGTTCCATGTTACAGACATCATATCTGTGGCCATGCTCCCTGGTCAATATATAAGTAAAGCCAGCAGCTGCATGCTGGGCTACTACAGAGAACAATGGGGGTCTAACCAGCATGACTTGTCAAAATACGGTTAGATTTATAGACAGGGCTAGATCTCTTTCTTCCTTGTAGGTAATTAGAAAACCAAATGACAATATGGCCAATTAGATGGTCTCTTTAATACTTCAGCGTGTTGAAGGTAGGAATTGACTTCCTAATATTGACAGTAAAAATATGAGACTTGCTTCGGCACAACATTCTGAGGTACCAGTAAGAAATAGAGAAGGATGTATAATCAATAGGAGACTAAGTGCACTGTGTATGACAGTATACAAATCAAACTTATCATGAGTAAATAATGGAAATAGCATCACAGAAATTCATAATATAAAACAGTTTTCATGAGTTAAAAGGCATAGCAAAGCAATCAATCATAAAAAAAAATTCCGACCCACCTGTATTCCAAGAATTTTCTCATTTCCAATCTCAACAAGGAGCTGTCTCAACTTTGCCTCCACATCAGAGTGAATTGGTGTATCATAAATCCATTGTGTGTTCATAGCTGGCCCAGAACTCAAGCTTCTAATATAAACAAAATCCAAATAAAAGTCTAGGAGAAGTAAGAATGTATTATATCAAGATAGACCAATGAGATGAACTCAGTGATATTAAACAAATATAATCAACAGGTGGAGACACAGACCCTAGTAGAGCAGATTCAGCAAACGGCCGCATGATGTCCAAGTACACTATCCGAACATTCATAATAGATGAAAGCCCTGAAAAAGGCAAGGATCGTACCAACATAACTATAGGCTCTATGTTACGTATTTAAAGGAATACAGAGACGGAAAACGAACCTCGAAGGAGATTTAATACCCTCATAAAAATTACAGCATCACCTGGGAATGCATCAACCTGGAAAGACAGTTATGTGTATTTGTAACTTGAACAAATCTGAAAGAAAATGACACAACATAAAGCATAGGAAGTTTGAAGAATTTGTACATACAGGGTTAAAGCGTTGGACTTCCTTCTTATTTAGATTCGTCTTCTCTTGGAGGGCCTTCAAATTCTTTTCTCTTTGATCTGTCAAAGATTTCATGTTTTCCTTCAAGGAAGAATACAAATGGTTAACTTTCAAATGTTGGTTACAATATGTGAATAATAGTCTGAAAGGGGAGGGAAAAGATTAGGATCAGAACTAGATCAGAAAGCATGCTTACAAGTGCTTCAGTTGCTGGCGTGGAGGTGCGAAAGAACACAGTTGTGACATCCATAACTTGCTCCGGCATGTCAACGCGTAACTTGAGTCCCATCTCTTCAAAGGAAGACAATAGAGCAACATGGTTTCCCTGCCATGGCATGTATACAGTGTTAAAAAAGTTCCAAACTTCATGCTGAAAATTTTAGCCCAAGAAACTTCTTTTTGTTTCACAAATTTTTGTGATTTTATAGAATTTTGGAAGCACTCAACTACATATTCCCTAACAAATATTGCTGCAACAAACAATAACCAATGCATTTAACTTTACATGATACATAATGTCGGGGACCTCCTGGGTGAACTAAAACATCAGTTTTCTCGTACCAACGCTTAACACAATGTCCATTCCTCCTAGATGAATTAAACCTTCATATTTCTCTTTCTATTGAGGGCATGATACAATGCCCATGTTCACACCATAAAGCAAAAGAAAGAATAAAGATCAGAAAAAGGTTATTGAGACCAGAAAAAAAAACCTAGATAAAAAGGACAAAGACCTCTAATAGTGTAGAATGCATGCACTATTGCATAATCTGCAAGCCAAGAATTCAAGCAAGAAAATCCATTCTTTTCGAAAATTACCAGCATGACTTTCAGGCACACTCAGATTCTCATATGTTCTGCTTTGCAACCCTAAGCTTTGACAAATGTGGTAAATACGATAAATTTCATTAAGAAAAAGTTAAATGATCACCAAGGAAAAATACATCAAGATTAAATGTACTATCACCTAACCAGACATTTCTTTAGGTCTAACTTACAAGCCTCATCCATATTGGAAATTCTAATGAGGGATGCATCACAAGGGGAAAGGGGGGGCTTGGCAATGGCAAGCAACACTCTTATTTACTTCCATTGATTATCAGAATTCCGAGACAATTACTGTCAATTCTACTGGTGGAAAGAAAAATATCGGTCGACATATAAGGGAAAAATTAGTCAAAAAACTGCATAATAAGGTTCTGGTAGAGCACATACATCTTATAGTCGCATTACACAAACTCTAAATCTAGTATAAACTTCACATTTTCCTCTATAAACAGGGGTAATTGGGTCATCTTATTTAGAACACGCACATGAACACACACGAGAACAAACACTCAAACATGCGTGAATGCACGCACAATACAGAAACACAAAACACAACATGTACACACAAGCAACACACAGCACAAGCATGCATACAAATAGAAAGAGAGAGGGAAGGGGTAGGGGCGGGGGCGGGGGAGGCGGGG